TCGAATGTTATTTAGTCACACATATAGATTATCTTTCTCTCCAAATATATACAGTGGGGATCAAAAGTTTGGGCACTCCAGCTAAACATTTGTATTAATGTCCATAAAGAAGCCAAGGAAAGAATGAAAAATCTCCAGTGTCTGCCAGATCTTTCTGGAGGGATCGTGCAGTCAAACGTGGGTTTTGAATTGTTTTTCTCACAATCCTGCGAGCTGTTCTGTCTGATATTTTTCTTGGTCTTCCAGATCTTGCTTTAACTTCCACTGTTCCTGATGACTGCCATTTCTTAATTACATTCCGAACAGAGGATATTGACATCTGAAAACGCTTTGCTATCTTCTTATAGCCTTCTCCAGCTTTGTGAGCGTCAACTATTTTCAGTTTCAGTTTTCTAGACAACTGCTTAGAAGAACCCATGGTGCTGATTGTTGGGGCAAGGTCAGATGAGTCTGGGCATTTAAAACCTTTGAGATTGACATAACCTGGTCTTCCCAGACGATGATTGAGAACAATCCATGACACTGGCAGGTCTCAGCTTTGGCAAAGGGGGCAGTACATGAGAAACTCTGCAGGGTGCCAAAACTTTTGCAGACGCCATTTTTTTGTTTTCTGTTATTTTGAAAGTGTAAATGATGGAAATAAAATCTAACTTTTGTTGACATATTATAAGAATGTCTAATCTGTAATTTGATGCCTTTTGGAGATTTTTCCATCTTTCCTTGGCTTCTTTATGCACATTAATACAAATTTTCAGCTGGGGTGCCCAAACTTTCGATCCCCACTGTGTATATATATATATATATATATATATATATATATATATATATACACACAATGCGTTTCAGGGTCAGAAAATGCTCCCTTCACTACCCTCAGGTTTGGGGTACTCAGACTGGCTACTGAGACCAGTTGCTGACTGTACTATCACAACTGTCTGGTTCAGGCGCGGGAGTATTTTGTATTTCTGACTCAATCCTGCACACTCTCTTCCCATTTCAAAGCCCTGATGAAGGGGTTGTTCTCAGACCCGGAAACATGTTGGCTCTGTGATGAAATCTTTTCACTGTTTTTGAATAAATATACTGTATATTCGAACATTCAACCCTGGTGTGGTCTTTCAATCTCATATTCATTTAGTTACAAACCAAGAGAAACTGTGAAAATCCTTTAGTGTGGAGGAGCTGCTAGCCCAGAATCCAGAAACTTGGCCCAAATACAACTACAACTCCTATATTAGGATAACTCTAGGGTTTCCACACTATAATCCCACTTTTTATAAATGGGTTCCATGTACTGCATTGATAATGGCCACAAAGCCTGAAACAGCTGTATGCAATTTAGAATAAATGGCTTTATATTTGCACGGTACACCATCGGTTTTGGGTGTGCATCTGGTCAAAGAGGAGTAAAACAATGATTTGCATGGATCCACCCACTTTTCTGAAAAAAATGGGGAGGTCTGTATGTACTACAGAGATGTACTGTATTGTTTTCTTAATTGTGCCCTGTTATAAACGTGAGGTCTTTTAACGCCCCCCAGGGCAATGGGTGACTGTCTTACCTTGGTCTTCCATTTTTACCCAGGATTAATGGATGTTTACATGACCCTCCACAGCACCTCTTCCAGGGAGAAGACTAGAGATCCACTGCTGCAATCCAGGCGAACCACCAGCCAGTATAGTTGCTTCAGAACAATATGAGGACACCACCAATGGACCACCAATGGAAGTTTCCACATTTCAAGACAGCAATAACATCCTACGAACAACTCACTCCTTTATGTTGCTGAAGAAAAAAACGGACTTGGAGTGCCATGTGACCACGTTTTCTAGGTTAATTAAAAGAGTATTTACACTCTAGGATAATATTGAAGACACATCAAAAAATGACGATGTGAAGTGTCACAAATTTCTGGACACAATTTTCCTTCCCAAGGAAGACCCTCCCTCTGTCTATTGCTGAAGAAAAAAAAAATGGGACTTGGAATGCTATGTGACCACAAATTTAGGTAATTAGAAGAGGTTATTAGACTCTTTAGGGGAGACACCACCAATGGACAACCAATGGGAAATGTCCACTTCGACCAGAAAGCAATATTGGCAACCAAAGACCCCTACCCCCTCTCCTTTGCCGAAGAAGGAAAACATGGCACTTTCCCTCAGTGCCAAAATTTAGGTAATCCATATTTTGACTGTTCAGGCCAATCTGATGACACCCTCAATTACCATAAGTGTCCAAATTTCTGGACAGCAATTTTGGAACCCAAAGGAAGACCCTCCCTCTGGAGTCTATTGCTGAAGAAAAAAAACACGGGACTTGGAATGCTATTTGACCACAAATTTAGGTAATTAGAAGAGGTATGTAGACTCAATTTTATCCCAAGGGGTTCACATACTTTTTCTTGACTCTTTAGGACAAAATGCAAAAGAGACACCACCAATGGACAACCAATGGGAAATGTCCACTTCGACCAGAAAGCAATATTGGCAACCAAAGACCCCTACCCCCTCTCCTTTGCCGAAGAAGGAAAACATGGCAATTGGAGTGCCATGTGACCACAAATTTAGGTAATCAGAAGGGGTATTTTGACTGTTCAGGCCAATCTGATGACACCCTCAATCAATTACCAATAAGAAGTGTCCAAATTTCTGGACAGCAATTTTGGAACCCAAGGGAAGACCCTCCCTCTCTCCATTGCTAAAGAAAAAAAACATGAGACTTGGAATGCTATTTGACCACAAATTTAGGTAATTAGAAGGGGTATGTAGACTCTTTAGGACAAAATGAAGACACCACCAATGGACAACCAATGGGAAATGTCCACTTCGACCAGAAAGCAATATTGGCAACCAAAGACCCCTACCCCCTCTCCTTTGCCGAAGAAGGAAAACATGGCAATTGGAGTGCCATTTGACCACAAATTTAGGTAATCAGAAGGGGTATTTTGACTCTTCAGGCCAATCTGATGACACCCTCAATCAATTACCAATGGGAAGTGTCCAAATTTCTGGACAGCAATTTTGGAACCCAAAGGAAGACCACCCTTCTCTCCATTGCTGAAGAAAAAAAAAAACATGGGACTTGGAATGCTATTTGACCACAAATTTAGGTAATTAGAAGGGGTATGTAGAGTCTTTAGGACAAATGAAGACACCACCAATGGTCAACCAATGGGAAATGTCCACTTCGACCAGAAAGCAATATTGGCAACCAAAGACCCCTACCCCCTCTCCTTTGCCGAAGAAGGAAAACATGGTAATTGGAGTGCCATGTGACTACAAATTTAGGTAATCAGAAGGGGTATTTTGACTCTTCAGGCCAATCTGATGACACCCTCAATCGATTACCAATGGGAAGTATCCACATTTCCGGACAGCAATATTGGAACACGAAGAAAGACCCTCCCTATCTCTGTTGCTGAAGAAAGAAAACATAGGACTTGGTTTGCCATGTGATCACAAATTTAGGTAATTAAGGCCTAGTTCACACTGGCATTGCCTATGCAAATGATACTATGAACAGCACACAGTGCTGTACACATTATCAAAACATGAAGCGTTAGCATTAGCGTTGCATCACCTCAAAATTGAAACCTCATGTTGAGCCTGGAGGGGTCTGAAGCCTCTGAATGCCTCCCATTCAAGACTATGGTGACGTTCTGCAAATGCGCTGGAAACGTTTGTGGAGCGTTTACAGTGCGGTTGCAACTCGTTAATAACATTACACTTTATGGTGTGGTTTTAACGCTTGTAAAACACTTATAAAACTACACATTGGAGCGTTTGGGGAGCATTTTTAACGCTTGTAAAACGCCAGTCTAACACCTGCATAGGGCGTTTGCGGAGCGTTTTTAACGATTGTAAATTGCCAGTCTAACACCCATACTAAAGCTCATTAATGTCTGTCTAACGCCCATACTAAATGCTACAGGAACGTTTGTTAAGAGTTAGAAATTTAGTCAAGAAAAAGCCCTAAAAGGGGTATTTTAACTCTTTAGGACAATTTGAAGACACAGCCAATGGACAACCAATGGACTTGGAATACCACGTGACCACAAATTTAAGTAACTAGAAGAGGTATTAAGATTCTGTATGGACAATATTACATCACCAATGGACAACCAATTGGAAGTTCCCACATCTCCAGACAGCAATATTGACACCCAATTATAGACCCTCCTCCTCACAGTTGCTGAAAAAAAAAACAAACAAACACAGGACTTGGATTGCCATTTGACCACAAATATAGGAAATTAAATATGGTGTTCAGACTCTTTAGGACAATCTGAAGACACCCTCAATGGATTACCAATGGGAAGTGTCCACATCTCTGGACAGCAATCTTGGAACCCAAAGAAAGATCTTTCCCACCTCTGTTGCTGAAGAAAAAGAAAAAAACATAGGACTTGGCATGCTATATGATCACAAATTTGGGTAATTAAAAGGGGTGTTTGGACTCTTCAGGACAATATCACCAATAGACAACCAATGGCAAGTGTCCACATCTCCTGACAGCAATATTGACACCCAAAGAAAGACCCTCCTCCTTTCCTCTACTGAAGATGGAAAACATGAACCACAAATTCAGATAATTAAAAAGCTTATTTAGCTGTCTTCTGGAGATGGGGAATTAGCAAGAAGGGGTTGGAAGGGTAAATTTTATATGGGGGGTTGCCTGGAGGTAACATAAAAGTCTGTTTACCTGAATGGAGAAGCATAGCTTTAATGCGTTCCCATAATAAAGATGAGTAGAAATGAACAGATCTACAAACTGAACTTTTTTGCATTTAACTTTATGCTATGTACCAACTGGTTGGAAAGCGCACATTCTGTAACAGTAGAGTTCATCAATGTGGTACAAATACATATTCGCAAATAAATTCAAGAGAACCGTTCCTTCACATTTTACAAATAGAACCAATAACCTAAAGTAGGATAATAATCGGCACTTGGTATGGAGCTTTTCAACATTCCGCCTATGGAAAATGTCCAACAGGCAATCACTCTGGTGTGGGTCTGGAAGTATCCTGATCCATGTTGAAGACAAGGTAGCATGTCTCAAGTCTGTCTGGACCCATCTTGTGTTCAAACTGAGGCTGAAGGTCTTCTGGTGTCAGGCCTTTTAAGAACTGGCTGGAGAGCTCATTGTACAAGGTTGGACCAACGTCATCTAGGGAGAGCAGAGATAATAAGATCATGTTATAACAATAAATTTGCAGGGTTTTACATGCAGCTTAATGGGATTCCATGGGAGGTTCTTAGTTTCCAAAACATCTACTGAACCTTCAAAAAACACTTTCACTTTACTAATTTAGTACATACTAGTGATAGTGCTAACAGATAGATTTCCGTAGCAAAGTATGTTCACCCCATCTATGCTCTTTGCCACCTTCCAGCTCTGTCAGAGCCCTCGCTTTGTTCCTCTATCACCCATGAACCTTTGAAGCTCCAGCAGATAGTTGCCTGTGTCATGGAGACTACTCTAGCTAGTGAAGGAAAATTATTATGTAGACTGACCTCTAGTACAGGGGTTAAAATTTTGAGTCCAGACCAGGGGCGGACTGAAAATTCATGGGGCCCCCGGGCAATAGGGGATCATGGGGCCCCCGTGTCCTTGCCCAAACTCAAAAAAGCCTATGAAAAAGGTATCAGGGGCATCTCATGGGGCCCCCTACTGACCCCTGGCCCTCGGGCAGTGCCAGAGTTTCCAAATGGTCAGTCCGCCCCTGGTCCAGACCTACTAGCCGGTCACAAAACTTACTCTCCACCAGTTGCCCCACCCAACCTTGCCCACGTCCACCCCCAACCCCACTCCACCCCGCCCCACCCTTTAAAGCTTATGAAATAAAATTTTTCTTTAGAATTAAGAGTCCAAAATATAAAACTGTACAGAGTAATGTATATCCCAGCTCCCCTGTACTCCATTATAGTGATATGACATGTTGTATACAGTACTTACTCCTAGTCCTTCCGAGTCCCTCGCCGCGGTGGAGAGGGTGTCTCCTCTCAGCGGAGGAGAGCGGACCTCTCCTGCACCTGTCCCCTCGGCTGCGGTGCCGCAGAAGCCGGAAACCGGAAGTTGTAAACCGGAACTCGGCTTCACAATGAGGCTTGGAGCGCAGGTGCAATCGCTCCATGCTTCATCTGTGCTCGCCACAGAGGAATTTCTCCTCGCATTTGGCGAGCGGGCGAGCAGCTTTTTCAAGCCCTGCTCTAGTAGTTATATTGTTTGGTATTTCCATTGCACTTGTGTATGTTTTATATTGTGTCTATCCCTTTTATGTTTTTATATCTTGTTTTTTTACTACGATCTCTTATCATAAGAAAAAAAAAAAGTATTTCCATTGCACTTGTGTATGTTTTATATTGTGTCTATCCCTTTTATGTTTTTATATCTTGTTTTTTTACTACGATCTCTTATCATAGGAAAAAAAAAAAAATCCCTGATCTCTAGCAATTTCACATAATGGGGTTGCTTTACTAAAGGTAAATATACTGTGCACCACAAGTACAGTTGTTCTAGATCCGAGGGGAAGCTCTGAAATGAGGCGAAGCTCTGCTGATTTCTTTCATCCAATCATCAGCAAGCAAAAATGCTGTTTTTTTTATTATCCTTGCATGTTTCCTTCAGATCTAGAGCAACTGCACTGTCAGTGCACAGTATATTTGCCTTTAGTAAGTCAACCCCAATGTGTCTCCCATCTATGACATCATATTGCCATATACAATACACTTCCCTGTGATTAGTCTCTGTGTTAGAAACAGTCCACATCCATATCTTCTAAATTCTGTGATTAGGGGCGGACTGACCATTTGGAAACTTGTGCACTGCCCGAGGGCCCGGGGGTCAGTAGGGGACCCCATGAGATGCCCCTGGTACCTTTTTCATAGGCTTTTTGGAGTTTGGGCAAGGACACAGGGGCCCCATGAGTTGTCAGTCCGCCCCTGGTTGTTATACAACCTTCCAATGGTGAACCTGTGTCTTGCTCCGCACGCACGTGATTATTACTCCACCGCAGTGCACCACCACTTGTATCCATTGCCCCTTACCTCCACACTTTGACCCACCTCTCGGTGAAAGTCAGAAAGCGCCTTCATAGATAATTGTGCAATAGAAATTATCGCAGATCCTCACTGCATCCTCAATTCATCTCATTATGTCAGATCTCCTCCACTCAATGAGATGAAAAAGGAATAGGAAATACCATAGTGTAAGATGTAACTATTCAGTTTTATTAAAACCACACCATAAAGTGTAATGATACTCACAAATTGCACTCTCGGATCTAATGCACTAGATTCAATCATTCCATTAGCAGCTTTAACTTTAACTCTGGACATCCAGGGGGATATATGAAAAGATGGCGATTCTGAGCACTCCGGGCGTGCTGATGTCACCTAGGTATCACCCTAACGCATTTCATCACTCCGTACCATGACTTCCTCATAGGGACCTATAGTATGTCCCCAGTCTCCAACAACTCCTATAGCATGTTTTCAGTCTCCAACAACTCCTATACCATGTCCCCAGTCTTCAACTCCTATAGCATGTCCCCAGTCTCCAACAACCCCTATAGCATGTCCCCAGTCTCCAACAACTCCTAGAGCATGTCCCCAGTCTCCAACAACTCCTAGAGCATGTCCCCAGTCTCCAACAACTCCTATAGCATGTCCCCAGTCTCCAACAACTTCTAGAGCATGTCCCCAGTCTCCAACAACTCCTATAGCATGTCCACAGTCTCCAACAACTCCTATAGCATGTCCCCAGTCTCCAACAATTCCTATAGCATGCCCCCAGTCTCCAATAACTCCTATAGCATGTCCCCAGTCTCCAACAACCCCTATAGCATGTCCCCAGTCTCCAACTCCTATTGCATGTTTCCAATCTCCAACAACCCCTATACCATGTCCCCAGTCTGCAACTCCTATAGCATGTCCCCAGTCTCCAACAACCCCTATAGCATGTCCCCAGTCTCCAACTCCTATAGCATGTCCCCAGTCTCCAACAACCCCTATACCATGTCCCCAGTCTCCAACTCCTATAGCATGTTTCCAGTCTCTAACAACCCCTATACCATGTCTCCAGTCTCCAACAACTCCTATAGCACGTTTCCAGTCTCCAACAACTCCTACAGCATGTCCCCAGTCTCCAACAACTCATACAGCATGTCCCCAGTCTCCAACAACTCCTACAGCATGTCCCCAGTCTCCAACAACTCCTACAGCATGTCCCCAGTCTCCAACAACTCCTACAGCATGTCGCCAGTCTCCAACAACTCATACAGCATGTCCCCAGTCTCATACAAAAACCTACAGCATGTCCTCAGCCTCCAACAACTGCTATAGCATGTCCCCAGTCTCCAACAACTGCTAAAGCATGTTCCCAGTCTCCAACAACTCCTACAGCATGTTCCCAGTCTCCAACAACTCTACAGCATGTTCCACTCTCCAACAACTCATACAGCATGTCCCCAGTCTCATACAAAACCTACAGCATGTCCTCAGCCTCCAACAACTGCTATAGCATGTCCCCAGTCTCCAACAACTGCTAAAGCATGTTCCCAGTCTCCAACAACTCCTACAGCATGTCTCCAGTCTCCAACAACTCCTATAACATGTCTCCAGTCTCCAACAACTCCTATAACATGTCTCCAGTCTCCAACAACTCTTATAACATGTCGCCAGTCTCCATCTCCTTTAATGTGTCCCCAGTCTCTCTATCAACTTCTATAGCATGTCCCCAGTCTCCAACAACTCCTATAGCATGTCCCCAGTCTCCAACAACTCCTATAGCATGTCCCCAGTCTCCAACAACTCCTAAAGCATGTCCTCAGTCTCCAGCTACTTAGTATGTCTTCATTTCTCAACAAACTCCCACAGCATGTCCCCAATTTTCAACATCTCCTATAACATGTCTTCATTCTCCAACAAACTGCTATAACATGTACACAGTCTCTGACCATCCCCTTTGCATGTCTGCAATCTCTGACAGCTTTCTGTAACGTTACATTGTCTGACTATTATGTGCAGCCCTTTAATGTCAGAAATTGCACTCGAGGCCCCCTATGTCAAGTAAGTTTACCACTCTTGCTCTAATGGATGGGTGGCCATGAGACCTCTATGTGATAGTTCGCTGGTCTAATACGGGGAGGAGCAGTGACATCAAAGACCCAGGTAGTCTCATTGGCTCAGACTGGGCAATCCAAGGAGAGGTAGGCATACAACATGATGCAGTTCCAAGAGAAGAAGCCAGCTCAGGAAAAGCTGTTTCAGAGAAAGAAGGCTTGGAGAGACTTATCTTTGATAGGTTGTGCTGAATATGTCAGGGAAGACAGGCAATTTCCTGAAAATGCATATTTTATTTCAGCCTATAGAGGAACTTTAAATGTTATGAATCGAGGGTAGGTTGGGTTTGTTGGCACACTATTCAGATGTAGCTTTGAAGGCACATAGCTATACCTAGTAATCCCTAACCACATACCTATACACTGCTGGCAAAGCGTCTTTAGTGTTTCTGACAAAGTATGGATGCCCTCATCTTCTTGATCATCATGGAAGCTGTCATTATCAGCAGACACATCCAATGCTGACCTGGCGTGGTTCACCATCATTTCCAGGGTGTTTCCTTCAGCCTCTTCAAAATCATCAGGATAATCATCAGGCCCTTCATCATCACCAATACCTTAAAATATAAAGTAAATATATGAAGTCAATATAACTGATCAACAAATGAAGAAAAAAGAGAGTTTAAAAAAAGTGTCTAGCCAGAATCTTTGTTTATTTTAGGATGGAATGGGGAAGGGTAGACCTTCTATCAAGACTTTAGCATGGTCTTTGTCCCCATTGAGGCGATTTACCCCTCTTTCTGTACTGGTGTTCATTATCACAGAGAAAGAAAATGAGCGGGAAACGGGCGGACTGACAACTCATGGGGCCCCCGAGCAATAGGGGATCATGGGCCCCTGTGTCCTCGACTACACTCAAACCACACCCAAGAAAGCCTATGAAAGGTACCAGGGACATCTCATGGGGCCCCCTACTGACCCTGGGCCCTCGGGCAGTGCCCGAGTTCCCCAATGGTCAGTCCGCCCCTGGGGGGAAATCATCTAATGGAAACATGTTCTAGGACAACTGTCTTAAGGCCTCTTGCACACTGCAGCTTGAAAAAGCTCAGTACAGGGGTTTTTTTTTTTTACTGAGGTAAAATGAAGCCCATTATTTACAATGTGCCTTCGCACAGAGGTGCATAGATAAGCGTTGCGTATTCCTCAGCTAAAAAAAAATTGCAAAATCTGCATTTTTGGTCAGTAATTTACGGCAATGCGTGCAAATAAACGCATATGAGCATAAATATTTAAGTGGTTGTAAAAGCTCATGGGTTTTTACCTTCATGCACAGAAAACCTCTTTGCAGCAACCCCCTCAAACACTCACCTAAGCCCCCTCTTGATCCAGCGATGTGTACTGAAGTCTTGGTGTCACGAACACTGATGGCGACCTCTAGTGGCCCACTGGCCGGAGTCCCCCCGGGTGCGGAGTCTAAGCCCAGGTCTGCTGGTTCACCAGAGCTCCTGATGGTGGGGATGGACTTGAAGCAGACCAGGACCAGGTCACAACCCCTGAGTGACACCAACCGTGGTAAAGGCAACCACCAATGGCGTGTAGCGGGTAGGAGCCAGATGTGAAGAGGTGTGACGTGGTCAGGCAAGCCGGGTAGGTAATAGCGAGGCAGACGGTACAGATCGGTAGACAAAGAGTAATCGGGTCACAAGACGGGTTCGGTAACAGCGGGTCAGACAAAAGGAGCAGGCAGAGGATGGTCAGGGCGAGCCAAAGGTCAGGGCAGGAGAAGACAGCGGTATCAGGTCCAGGCAGGGTCAGCAACAAGGCAATCAGCATACAGGAAGAGCAGGAACACAGGAACAGGGAGAAGACCATCAGGCAACTTGTGTCTGTGCAGAGCTGGTTTAAGTAGCCTGCGCGGCGCTGACAGGCGCGCCTGGGTCCTAGTGCCTGCCCAGTGCCGTCATAGGTGACAGGCGCGCCTGGGTCCTAGTGCCTGCCTGCATGTCTTGTCGGACACCTACGCATGTGCAGACTCATGCGTCACGGTGGTCCCTGATACTTGGCTATCCCGGGACTCCCTTTCCTCATTGCTTGAGACAGCAGCAGAAGTCATTGGTTCCCACTGCTGTCAATCACAGCCAGTGAGATAATGAGAAGAGAGAGGGGGTGGGGCCGAGCCGTGGCTCCATGTGTGAATGGATACATGGAGGGCCCTCATAGCAACCTGCTTGCTGTAGGGGCACCCGACAGAAGGGAGAGGCCAGGAGAGCCTGCGGGGGACCCAAGAAGAGGAGGATCCAGGCTGCTCTGTGCCAAATCACTGCACACAGCAGGTAAGTATAGACATGTTTGATATTTTTAGAGAAAAAAATGTAAGCCTTTAGTATCGCTTTAATCAATTTTCCCTAAGAATATATAGTGATTCCAAAGGCACAAACTCAAAAGGAGCATAAATGTGTGCAAAATAAATACCTGAAAATAAATTCACAAAAAGTAGATGCTCAAACATTAGTACTGTGTGCAAGAGGCCTACAAAGGAAATTCCTCTCGCTTTGGGAGATTTCCTCAAAATTTCTGTTGCGTCTCTGAGAGAGGAAAGCAATATATAAAACAAATAAATTGGCAGGGGTGTTAACCCCTGAAACTAAAACTGAGGGAAATTCTTTCCAGTGGGGTCCCAGACAAAGTAAAACCTGACCAAATTTTATTTTTTTTATTTTTTCCCCACTCTATCGAATACCAAAAAATATTTAAACTTTGAAAGCCTTTATATCTGTATGGTGCCTTAAATCATGCTATTTTATGTCACTAGTTGGAATGGCTTCTTTTTCTGCTTTTCTCAACAGGAACCCTACTGGACCTCAAAGTAAACACCAGCCAAAAGGTATTTGGAGTGAAACCCAAGTAATAAATGGCATAGACTGAATTTTACATACAAAATGACACAACAATTAGTGGAGGTATGGGCAAAATAAATAATAATATGTGCATCAGGGTCTTCTGTTTTCTTCCCTGCAGATTGGGAGGGTTGTTCTGCTGGTGTCTATATCATTGCTTGGGTGATCCTAAGTGATCTTTTTGGCTTTCTAGCAGTGGGATCCACCCAGAATCCACTGGACTGCACACTCTGAACCGTATGACACAGATAAAAGGATTAGTTGAGCAAAAACAACAAAAATTAAAAAGAATTTTTTTTTTTAACAAGTGCTGAATGTGGTAGATGGGGTGGGAAGGAGTAATGGAAGCTGGACATCTTTGCCTGGAGATAAGTTTTAAATTCTTCTTTTACAAGGTGCCCTCATTTTTATGTTTTCATATTGTAGCTTTAAATAGATTACTTAAAACATGTATTTTGCCTCTCTAGCTATGAGCCTAGTTGGTCTACACCAGCATTTCTCTACCTTTTCAAAACAGAGGAACCCTTGAAATAACTTTCCAGTCTCTGAGAACTCCTGAAAAATGACTATATCTACAACACATGATACATTAGAGCAGCGGTTCTCAACCTGGGGGTCGCGACCCCTTTGGGGGTCGAACGACACTTTCCCAGGGGTCGCCTAAGACCATCGGAAAACACATATTTCCGATGGCCTTAGGAACCGAGACACCGCTCCTCTGTCCGTCTCCAGGTGTGGGCGGGATGACATGCAGTCCCTGTCATCCGGACACACCCCCAGGATCAATCCTCTCGGTGATTGGCCGCCGGAACTGTAGCTCAGGAGAGGCACACAGGCGGCCAATCACCGGCAAGGAGGTGGAGCTTGGAAAGGAGGAGCCGAGCGGCACCGCGAAGATCGAGCGAGTGAAGAGGAGGAGAGCGGCCGGAGAAGGAAGACATCTGACCGGTAAGTGTCTGTACCATGGGAGAGGGAGGGAGCGAGCGAGCCCAGGCTGGAGCAGGGGTCAGCAAGGTAAGTATCATTGGTGTCAGTGGGAGGAATAGTGCCCAATCATGTCACTAATACCAATGATGGGGCACTATTCCTCCCCCCACTGACACCAACGATGGGGCACTATTCCTCCCCGTTTGACACCAACGATGGGGCACTATTCCTCCCACTGATACCAACGATGGGGCACTATTCCTCCCACTGACACCAATGTTGGGGCACTATTCCTCCCACTGACACCAATGATGGGGCACTATTCCTCCCACTGATACCAGTGATGGGACACTTTTCCTCCCACTGACATCAGTGATGGGACACTATTCCTCCCACTGACACCAGTGATGGGGCACTATTCCTCCCACTGACACCAATGATGGGGCACTATTCCCCCCACTGACACCAATGATGGGGCACTATTCCCCCCACTGACACCAATGATGGGGCACTATTCCCCCACTGACACCAACGATGGGGCACTATTCCTCCCCCCACTGACACCAACGATGGGGCACTATTCCTCCCCCCACTGACACCAACGATGGGGCACTATTCCTCCCACTGATACCAACGATGGGGCACTATTCCTCCCACTGACACCAACGATGGGGCACTATTCCTCCCACTGACACCAATGATGGGGCACTATTCCTCCCACTGACACCAATGATGGGGCACTATACTTCCCACTGACACCAATGATGGGGCACTATACTTCCCACTGACACCAACGATGGGGCACTATTCCTCCCCACTATTCCTCCCACTGACACCAATGTTGGGGCACTATTCCTCCCCTGATACCAATGATGGGGCACTATTGCTCCCCTGATACCAATGATGGGGCACTATTCCTCCCACTGACACCAATGATGGGGCACTATTCCTCCCACTGATACCAATGATGGGGCACTATTCCTCCCACTGACACCAATGATGGGGCACTATTCCTCCCACTGACACCAGTGTTGGGACACTTTTCCTCCCACTGACACCAGTGATGGGACACTTTTCCTCCCACTGACACCAGACACCAATGATGGGGCACTATTCCTCCCACTGACACCAATGATGGGGCACTATTCCCCCACTGACACCAATGATGGGGCACTATTCCCCCCACTGACACCAATGATGGGGCACTATTCCTCCCACTGACACCAATGATGGGGCACTATTCCTCCCACTGACACCAATGATGGGGCACTATCCTCCCACTGACACCAATGATGGGGCACTATTCCTCCCACTGACACCAATGATGGGGCACTATTCCCCCCACTGACACCTATGATGGGGCACTATTCCTCCCACTGACACCAATGATGGGGCACTATTCCTCCCACTGACACCAATGATGGGGCACTATTCCTACCCACTGACACCAATGATGGGGCACTATTCCTACCACTGACACCAATGATGGGGCACTATTCCTCCCACTGACACCAATGATGGGGCACTATACTTCCCACTGACACCAATGATGGGGCACTATACTTGACACCCCACTGACACCAACGATGGGGCACTATTCCTCCCACTGACACCAATGTTGGGGCACTATTCCTCCCCCTGATACCAATGATGGGGCACTATTGCTCCCCCTGATACCAATGATGGGGCACTATTCCTCCCACTGACACCAATGATGGGGGCACTATTCCTCCCACTGACACCAATGATGGGGCACTATTCCTCCCACTGACACCAGTGTTGGGGCACTTTTCCTCCCACTGACACCAGTGATGGGGCACTTTTCCTCCCACTGACACCAGTGATGGGGCACTATTCCTCCCACTGACACCAATGATGGGGCACTATTCCCCCCACTGACACCAATGATGGGGCACTATTCCCCCCACTGACACCAATGATGGGGCACTATTCCCCCCACTGACACCAATGATGGGGCACTATTCCTCCCACTGACACCAATGATGGGGCACTATTCCTCCCACTGACACCAATGATGGGGCACTATTCCTCCCACTGACACCAATGATGGGGCACTATTCCTCCACTGACACCAATGATGGGGCACTATTCCCCCCACTGACACCTATGATGGGGCACTATTCCCCCACTGACACCAATGATGGGGCACTATTCCTCCCACTCACACCAATGATGGGGCACTATTCCTACCACTGACACCAATGATGGGGCACTATTCCTACCACTGATACCAATGATGGGGCACTATTCCTCCCATTGACATCAGTGATGGGACACTATTCCTCCCACTGACACCAATGGGGCACTATTCCTCCCACTGATACCAATGATGGGGCACTATTCCTCCCATTGACATCAGTGATGGGACACTATTCCTCCCACTGACACCAATGACATGGCACTACTCCTCCCACTGCAAAATTACAGTTATGAAGTAGCAACGAAAATAATGACACCAATGTTGGGGCACTATTGCTCCCCTGATACCAACGATGGGGCACTATTCCTCCCACTGACACCAACGATGGGGCACTATTCCTCCCACTGACACCAACGATGGGGCACTATTCCTCCCACTGACACCAACGATGGGGCACTATTCCTCCCACTGACACCAACGATGGGGCACTATTCCTCCCACTGACACCAACGATGGGGCACTATTCCTCCCACTGACACCAACGATGGGGCACTATACTTCCCACTGATACCAACGATGGGGCACTATTCCTCCCACTGACACCAACGTTGGGACACTATTGCTCCCCCTGAACCAATGATGGGGCACTATTGCTCCCCCTGATACCAATGATGGGGCACTATTCCTCCCACTGACACCAATGATGGGGGCACTATTCCTCCCACTGATACCAATCATGGGGCACTATTCCTCCCACTGACACCAATGATGGGGCACTATTCCTCCCACTGATACCAATGATGGGGCACTATTTCTCCCACTGACACCAGTGTGTTGGGGCACTATTCCTCCCACTGACACCAGTGATGGGACACTTTTCCTCCCACTGACACCAGTGATGGGGCACTATTCCTCCCATTGACACCAATGATGGGGCACTAATCCCCCCACTGACACCAATGATGGGGCACTATTCCCCCACTGACACCTATGATGGGGCACTATTCCTCCCACTGACACCAATGATGGGGCACTATTCCTCCCACTGACACCTATGATGGGGCACTATTCCTCCCACTGACACCAATGATGGGGCACTATTCCTCCCACTGACACCAATGATGAGGCACTATTCCTCCCACTGACACCAATGATGGGGCACTATTCCCCCACTGACACCTATGATGGGGCACTATTCCTCCCACTGACACCAATGATGGGGCACTATTCCTACCACTGACACCAATGATGGGGCACTATTCCTACCACTGATACCAATGATGGGGCACTATTCCTCCCATTGACATCAGTGATGGGACACTATTCCTCCCACTGACACCAATGACGTGGCACTACTCCTCCCACTGCAAAATTACAGTTATGAAGTAGCAACGAAAATAATTTTATGGTTGGGGGTCACCACAACATGAGGAACTGTATTAAGGGGTCGCGGCATTAGAAAGGTTGAGAACCACTGCATTAGAGTGATGGTCAGTGGGAAAAATGCTCCTTACACTTGTGGTCATTGGAAAGAATTACCCCCTTACAGATACAGTGGGGTAAAAAAGTATTTAGTCCGCCACCAATTGTGCAAGTTCTCCCACTTACAAAGATGAGAGAGGCCTGTAATTGGCATCATAGGTAGACCTCAACTATGAGAGACAAAATGAGAAAAAAAATCCAGACAATCACATTGGCTGATCTGGAAAGAATTTATTTGCAAATTATGGTGGAAAATAAGTATTTGGTCACCTACAAACAAGCAAGATTTCTGGCTCTCACAGACCTGTACCTTCTTCTTTAAGAGGCTCCTCTGTCCTGCACTCATTACCTGTATCAATGGCACCTGTTTGAACTTGTTATCAGTATAAAAGACACCTGTCCACAACCTCAAACAGTCACACTCTAAACTCCACTATGGTGAAGACCAAAGAGCTGTCAAAGGACACCAGAAACAAAATTGTAGACCTGCACCAGGCTGGGAAGACTGAATCTGCAATAGGCAAGCAGCTTGGTGTGAACAAATCAACTGTGGGAGCAATAATTAGAAAATGGAAGACATACAAGACCACTGATAATCTCCCTCCATCTGGGGCTCCACGCAAGATCTCACCCCGTGGGGTGAAAATGATCACAAGAACGGTGAGCAAAAATCCCAGGACCACACGGGGGGGACCTAGTGAATGACCTGCAGAGAGCTGGGACTAACGTAACAAAGGCTACCATCAGTAACACACTACGCCGCCAGGGACTCAGATCCTGCAGTGCCAGACGTGTCCCCCTGCTTAAGCCAGTACATGTCCGGGCCCGTCTGAAGTTTGCTAGAGAGCATTTGGATGATCCAGAAGAGGATTGGGAGAATGTCATATGGTCAGATGAAACCAAAATAGAACTGTTTGGTAGAAACACAACTCGTCGTGTTTTGGAGGAGAGAGAATGCTGAGTTGCATCCAAAGAACACCATACCTACTGTGAAGCATGGGGGTGGCAACATCATGCTTTGGGGCTGTTTCTCGGCAAAGGGACCAGGACGACTGATCCATGTACAGGACAGAATGAATGGGGCCATGTATCGTGAGATTTTGAGTGCAAACCTCCTTCCATCAGCAAGGACATTGAAGATGAAACGTGGCTGGGTCTTGCAACATGACAATGATCCCAAACATACCGCCCGAGCAACGAAGGAGTGGCTTCGTAAGAAGCATTTCAAGGTCCTGGAGTGGCCTAGCCAGTCTCTAGATCTCAACCCCATAGAAAACCTTTGGAGGGAGTTGAAAGTCCGTGTTGCCCAGCGACAGCCCCAAAACATCACTGCTCTAGAGGAGATCTGCATGGAGGAATGGGCCAACATACCAGCAACAGTGTGTGCCAACCTTGTGAAGACTTACAGGAAACGTTGACCTCTGTCATTGCCAACAAAGGATATATAACAAAGTATTGACATGAACTTTTCATATTGACCAAATACTTATTTTCCACCATAATTTGCAAATAAATTCTTTCCAAATCAGCCAATGTGATTGTCTGGATTTTTTTTCTCATTTTGTCTCTCATAGTTGAGGTCTACCTATGATGCCAATTACAGGCCTCTCTCATCTTTGTAAGTGGGAGAACTTGCACAATTGGTGGCTGACTAAATACTTTTTTGCCCCACTGTAGGTGAAAAGATCAATAGTGTCATTGGAAACCTATTGGGAAAATTCTCATTGCTCAAGGAACCCCTAGCAACTTCTGGAGGAACCCTAAGGTTCCATGGAACCTTGTTTGCAAAATCCTGGTCTACACAGTTATCAAAACCCTGTAATAGTCATCTTATATGAAATCCTAGTTTTAACAGTAAATCCATTAGGTTATATCACATCTAAAATACAGAACCATACTGGAGTCTTACCAAGCTCCTCTGGAATCTCCTCGTTCTGACAAGGTTCCTCATCCAGATCTTCCTCAACAGAAGCCAAACTGTCCTTGTCAAAGTCCTCAGAGTAGTCAGATCCATCCGCAGTGCCTGATAATTCCTCAGAATCCCACAATTCACAAGAACCACCAATTAGTCTTTGAGAGCTTGGTGGAGCAGACTTAGGTCTATAGTCCTCTTTGGAGACATCATAATATGCTATGGATGTTTTGCTCCGATTTTCTGAAGGACCGACGTCTCCATTGTCTTTCTTTTCCAAAGTTTGCTTATATAAATAAAATTCATGTTTCTGTATGAATTGTTTTAAATGTTCTTGAACAAAGGGTAAGCTTAGAATGCTATTTGCACTAGGTCTAGTTTCAGGGCTTTTGTCCAAAACGGTTTTAACCAACAGATGTAAATCAGTGGAGTAGGAGTCTGCCAGGGGGGCATAATTCTCTTTCACAATTTTGAAAAACAGACTTAATATGTTTGTTGCATCAAATGCTGGTTTCAAGGCACACATTTCATAAAGTAAACATCCAAGAGCCCAAATATCTGATTTGGAACTATACGGAACGTCTTGGCACATCTCTGGACTGAGGTAATAGGGCGTTCCCACACATGTGCTTGCCATATCCATAGTGTTAGACATAATCTTGGAGATACCAAAATCCCCAAGCCGTATCGTGCCCTTTTTGGTAAGAAAGACGTTTGAAGTTTTGATATCTCTGTGAAGAATTTTCAAGGAATGGATATACTGAATGGCCATCGTCAACTGAATAAACCAGTCCATGATGGTGTCTTCTGGGAAGAGGACACCCTTCCTTTGCTTGATGTGATCATCTAACGTCCCTCCATCACAGTAATCTTGAACGATAAAAACAAATTCATCCTCCGGGTCACAGAAGTATTCCTGGCACACAACAACATTTGGGTGGAAAAGTTTGCCCATGATAACTGCTTCACGAAATATAGACTCTTTAGTCCTGGTACGCTTAGATGCATCTACTTTAATTTTCTTCACAGCATATGTTTTTTTGGTTTCTTTATTCCTCATAAGAAAAACTTCAGCTGTTGCTCCTCTGCCAATTTTTAATATCTTCTCATACTTCTCCATTTTGTATCATGTATCCACATCTACAGCACAAAAATAATGTTATGGTTAGCATATTGTAAATAGTTAGACTACACTACATAGCCAAACATTTTTGTATACCTGCCCATCATATCTATGGAGGGAGCTGAAAGTTCGAGTTGCCAAAAGTCAGTCACCAAACCTTAATGACTTGGAGAAGATCTGCCAAGAGGAGTGTCAGGAATGGACTTGCCAATAATGGTGGGACTCACCTGGCTTGTGGGCTGCAGTACCGGGGCTGGCCAGCGGGTGCTCTCAGCAATCAGAGACTCAACCCTGCAGTCAGCCAAACACCTGAAGCTGATTACGGGGGTTGTATTTAAGGAATGGCCAGACTCACAGTCAGGGCCTTGGTGTGTGTTTTTCCATGGGCCCCTGTATCTGGTATCCTGTATTCCTGTTCCCTGTTCCTGCCTGACTTGTTGCCGACCCTGCCTGATCCTGACCTCTGCTGACTTCTCCTGTTTGATCCCTGGCTTGTGACCCTGACCATTCTCTGCCTGACCCTCTGCACCGCGCTGCCCGTGAGTTACTGAACCCAGCTTGTGTCCCCGACCACTCTCCCGCCTGTTCCTGGTACTCCGTTTGCCCGTTTGCTACTGACCCGGCCTGCCTGACGACCCTTGCATTGTATGTATTGTTATCTGTAGGTGGTTTGGTTTGGTTTAGTTTGTTTGCACTGTGTTTAGGTTTCGTTTTGCACTGCGTTTTGTATTGTTAGTATTAATAAATTATATTGTTTATAACATATCTGAAGCCTGCGTTTCCCTGTGTCAGTCCACACACCTCTGGTCATACCCTGATTCCTGACAAGGAGTGGGTCAAAATCCCTCCTGAGATGTGTGCAAACCTGGTGGCCAACTACAGGAAACGTCTGACCTCTGTGATTGCCAACAAGGGATTTGCAACCAAGTACTAAGTCATGTTTTGTGAAGGGGATCAAATATTTATTTCCCTCATGAACATGCAAATCAATCATCATTTGTTAGACATGCATTTCTGCTGAATTTTTTGTTGCTATTCTGTCTCTCAGTGTTACAATACACCTACCCAGGGGCGGACTGACCATTTGGAAACTCGGGCACTGCCCAAGGGCCCGGGGTCAGTAGGGGGCCCCATGAGATGCCCCTGGTACCTTTTTCATAGGCTTTTTTGAGTTTGGGCAAGGACACAGGGGCCCCATGATCCCCTATTGCCCGGGGGCCCCATGGTTGTTTAGTCCGCCCCTGCACCTACCATTTGATTTTTAGACTGATCATTTCTTTGTGAGTGGGCAAACATTCAAAATCAGCAGGGGATCAAATACGCATTTCCTTCACTGTATATGGCCAAAAGCATGCAGAAACCCCTCCAAATGATTGAGCTCAGGAGTAACCAGTGAAGGGTTCTGGTAATTCTGCAGCATACAAAGACATTTTAGAGTAATGTGTACTTCCAAGGCTGTGGTTACAGTTTTTGAAAGGACCTTTTCTGTTCAGCATGATGTGCCCCTGTGTACAAAGCCAGCTCCATAAAGACATGGGTTGACTAGAGCCCTGACCTCACCAGTACTGAACACCTTTGGGAGAAATTTGGAACACCAGTTGCCATCCAGGACTTTTCATCCAACATCAGCGTCTGACATCACAAATGTTCTTTTGACCGAATAGGCACAAATTCCCACATACGCATTTTGAAATCTTGTAGAAAGCTTTCTCTTTTATATCTACAAATTGGGGGCCACAGATAGGATCTGGTTCTTAATAGGAATTCCAAGGTGTTTTGTAGGGTTGAGGTTGTGTAGGGTTGAGGCAGAAGTTGAGCAAGGAAGACCAAGGGTGTTTTGTAGGGTTGAGGTTGTGTAGGGTTGAGGCAGAAGTTGAGCAAGGAAGACCAAGGGTGTTTTGTAGGGTTGAGGCTGTGTATGGTTGAGGCAGAAGTTGAGCGAGGAAGACCAAGGGTGTTTTGTAGGCTTGAGGTTGTGTATGGTTGAGGCAGAAGTTGAGCGAGGAAGACCAAGGGTGTTTTGTAGGCTTGAGGTTGTGTATGGTTGAGGCAGAAGTTGAGCAAGGAAGACCAAGGGTGTTTTGTAGGGTTGAGGTTGTGTAGGGTTGAGGCAGAAGTTGAGCGAGGAAGACCAAGGGTGTTTTGTAGGGTTGAGGCTGTGTATGGTTGAGGCAGAAGTTGAGCGAGGAAGACCAAGGGTGTTTTGTAGGCTTGAGGTTGTGTATGGTTGAGGCAGAAGTTGAGCGAGGAAGACCAAGGGTGTTTTGTAGGCTTGAGGTTGTGTATGGTTGAGGCAGAAGTTGAGCAAGGAAGACCAAGGGTGTTTTGTAGGTTGAGGCTGTGTATGGTTGAGGCAGAAGTTGAGCGAGGAAGACCAAGGGTGTTTTGTAGGCTTGAGGTTGTGTATGGTTGAGGCAGAAGTTGAGCAAGGAAGACCAAGGGTTGTTTTGTAGGGTTGAGGTTGTGCAGGGGTTGAGGCAGAAGTTGAGCAAGGAAGACCAAGGGTGTTTTGTAGGGTTGAGGTTGTGTAGGGTTGAGGCAAAAATTGAGCAGGGCTGAGGTTGAGGGCATAGTCATGCTGGAACAGAAAAGAACCTTCTCCAAACTGTTGCCGCAAGGTTGGAAGAACACAAATGTCTATATCATATATGCTGTAGCATTACCAGTACCCTTCAAGCAATTTTTTTTTTTTAACAATTCCTACTTCTCAGTTGAAGTCTTACAGTGAATTTTTTTGTCATTTGTATTATTCTTGAGTTGTTGTTTTGAGTTGTTTTGAGCGCTGCACTACTTTTTTACAATCTATTCACACTGCTTTTGGTATCAGTTTTGAGTGCTGGCAGCTAGAGAAGAGGTTTAGTAGTTCCATTTGTATAGCGCAGGAGGATTTCGGATTACTTACAGTGAATGTAAGACTTGATGTATTGCAGTTATCTCATCCTCTGGATTTTATTGGTTTCAGGGTGTCTCCCTTTGCTTTACAGGGTTCTATGGAGCCACCCTTCCTGCATTTCTGGTCAAGAGCTGTGTGTTCCAACACACACACATCCCTGAAGCCTTAGGAAGGCAAGCCACTCCCCTGCTCCCACATCCTCCCTCCTCAAAAGAGCTGCTGTCCCTTATGACTTGGTAACCAGTGAATGCTCTTTCCCGCAGGAATTCCATGGAAACTGTGCTTAGGGATCTGGAGCCTTCACTAGTGAAGTTTCAAAAATGAATGGAAGTGAATTACACATATGAACTAAATAATGTACTGAGGAATGTAGATTCCTGGTAGATGAGAGACATATTAATTTAAACAAATTATTTAATAATACTTCCACTGAAAAAACCCTAAAGTTAATCGAATGTCCATGTAGTGTGATGGTCAGATGTCCACCAACTTCTGGTCATAAAGTAGTTACATAGAAATCTGTATGCGTAGACCAGCCATTCTCAGCCAGGGTTCCATAGAACCCCAATATTCCTTCAGAGATTGCTTGGGGTTCCTTGAGCTGCGGATGATTGACCTCCAAGTTGATGGTACCTGCATAGTTCTGGGTCTAAGTCTACTTGGCATGCCCTGACCTGGCCATTACTGCATACAACGCCTCACTGTCAGTTGCCCTTGACTCCCTGGCACCCTTAACCACACGTAGCATTAGACCCCGACCGCTTCAACCCTGGCAAAACGACCACACGAAATGCCTCAAACGATGCAGTCGTCGCCCTGGAGCGCTTATGGCGCAAAACCAGATCTCCTCGCGAGTTCACCCTCTATAAAGCCGCCTACCTCGCCTACACCACCTCCCTCCATGCCGCCAAGCAAGCCTATTTTATAACCCTTATCAACACCCTCTCCACCTGTCCTCGCCGGCTCTTCTCCACCTTCAAATCCCTGCTCTCTCCCCCCCCACCTCCACCCAGCACCACACTCACTGCCCACGAGATTGCCAATCACTTCCAAAACAAGATTGACGCATTGATGCAATCCGTAAGGACATTGTCAACTCACAATCCACCTCTCCCACCCAGCCTCCCACCCTCCTTTAACCCCTCAATCGTCCCCTCCACCGACCTCACAGCCGCACTACCCCCCATTATACCTAATGCCCCGCACATCATCACCTCCCCAACACTCCGCTCCTTCAGCCCAACTACCCCTGAGGAGGTCTCTAAGGTCTTCACTGAAGCCCGCCTCACCACCTGCCCCCTGGACCCTATCCCCTCACAGCTCCTCCAGTCACCCCCCCCCCTCCATCATTCGCTCCCTCACCCACATCTTCAATCTCTCCCTCTCCACCGGCACCTTCCCCTCCCCTCTAAAGCACGCACATATCACCCCCATACTCAAAAAACCTTTCCTTGACCCCACTAACCTGAACAACCTTAGACCCATCTCCCTGCTGCCTTTCACTTCCAAGCTCCTTGAGCGCCTGGCCTACAATCGCCTAAGCGCCCACCTCACTGTTAACAACCTCCTTGACCCCCTACAGTCTGTCTTCTGTCCCCTGCACTCCACCGAAACTGCCCTACTTAAAATCACCAACGACCTGCTAACCGCCAAAGCCAATGGCCACTATTCCATCCTCCTGCTCCTCGACCTCTCCGCGGCCTTCGACACTGTTGACCGCCCTCTCCTCCTTGCCAAACTGCACTCCCTTGGCATCAGGGACGCTGCTCTCTCCTGGTTCTCCTCCTACCTTTCCCAAACGTTCCTTCAGCGTCACCTACAACACTGCCACCTCCCCCTCCCTCCCCCTCTCTGTCGGGGTCCCCCAAGGCTCTGTCCTCGGGCCGCTCCTCTTCTCCATCTATACCTCCTCCCTTGGCAAACTTATTCACTCCCACGGCTTCAATTACCACCTCTATGCCAACGACACCCAAATTTACCTGTCCACCCCCCACCTCACCCCCTCACTCTCCGCCCGCATCGCCCAACTCCTAAACGACATATCAGACTGGATGTCGCTCCATTTCCTCAAACTTAACCTATCCAAAACCGAGCTCCTGGTCTT